CCCTTCGATGTGGCCGTGGTGGAGCTGGAGCGCCCCGTGGGCGGCTTCGTCGCGCCGCGCCTCGCCTCGTGCTTCCGCCCCGGTGAGTGACGGCGCCACGCGACGCGGGGAACCTGTCCCAGAGCAGCAGCCCCGTGCCTAGTCCAGCTGGGCTGGTGGTGGGAACCCATCCAACATCACTGCCCTTGTCCCAAGTCCAGCCACGGTGGTGGTGGGAGCCCGTCCAACTTCATCACCCTTGTCCTAGCTCCAGCCATGGCAGTGGTGGGAACCTATCCAGCACCCTCATACCTGTCATACCTCCAGTCATGGTGGTGGGGGTTCCCATTCAACATCATCACCCTTGTCCCAGATCCAGCCAGGGTGGCGGTGGGAACCCATCCAATGTGACTGCCCTTGTCCCAAGTCCAGCCATGGTGGGGCTGGAACCCCATCCAACACCATCATTCCTGTCCTAGTTCCAGCCATGGTGGTAGTGGGTCCCTATCCAACATCACTGCCCCTGTTCCAGCTCCAGACACGGTGGTGGGAACCCATCCAACTCCATCACCCTTCTCCCAGCTCCAGCCACGGTGGCGGTGGGATCCCCTCCCAACACCATCCTCCCTGTCCCAGYTCCCGCCATGGCAGTGTCCCCATCCCACGCCACCCGCCGTGCCCCAGCCCTGGCAGCGTCCCCACGTCACGCCGTGCCCGCTGTGTGTCGCGCAGGGGAGGACGTGCACGTGGAGAGCTACGGGCCGCTGGGCGGCGCGTGGGGGCCCTCGGTGACGGCGGGCGTGCTCTCGGCGGTGCTCGCCGTGGCGGGCCGGCCCGTCATGCTGCAGACCACGTGCGCCGTGCACAGCGGCTCCAGCGGCGGGCCCGTGTTCTCCGYGCGCACGGGGCAGCTCCTCGGTGAGACACCCCCCTACCCCAGCCCCGAACCCCCAGCGGCCTCCACACGAGGGCACGAGCCGCCGCCCGCCGTCCCCGCAGGCATCGTGGCCAGCAACACCAAGGACACGCGGGCGGGAGCCACGTACCCGCACCTCAACTTCAGCGTGCCYGTGACGGTGCTGCGGCCGGCGCTGGAGCGCTACGCGCGCACGGGCGACGCGGCCGCCTGGGCGCCGCTCGACGCCGCCGCCGCCGGCGTGCGCGAGCTCTGGCGCCTGCAGCAGCCGCCGCCGGACGCGCCGCTCAGCAAGCTCTGAGCCCGCCGCGCTCCACACAGCAAGGAGGGTTTATTGCACAGCCGTGACACGATGGGGCCCCCAGCGCGGCGGGGGCGGCATGGGGCAGGGGGGGACGCGCAGCAGGGGACAGGGGCGCGGGGGGCCGCGGCTTCTGCTCCGGTGCCATCACGCTTTGCAGCCCTCGTGAGCACGCGGCCTCATCGGCGGGCCCGCCGCGTCGCCCACCCCATCGCCGCCGCTACCAGATGTAGCCGCCGTCGTCCGCATCGGCCTCCTCCTCCTCCTCGGCCTCCTCGGCGGCCTCCTCGGGCTCCTTCTCCTCCTCGTCCTCCCAGCCCACGCTGCTGCCAAAGTCGCCCGAAAAGCCCACGGCCTCCTCTGCAGGGCATGGGGCGGCTAGCAAGGGGTACCCCACTGCCGCTGCCGCCCCGGGCCCCACGGCCGCCCCCCGGCGCTCTTACCGCAGTCGGGGCGCCCGTGGCCCCGCGTGCCCGTCAGCTCCTGGCCCAGCTGGTCCACGCACCAGCACTCGCCGCCGCCCTGCTCACACTGCAGCCGCCGGTAGTAGCCGTCCTCGTCGCAGCTGGGGATGAAGCCGCCTGCGGGGCGCAGGGGGCAGTTGGCAGAGCACAGTGGGGCAGCCAGAGCCCGCCCCGCTCGGCACGCTGCTCACCCGGCTTCTTCCTGCCCGCCTCCATCACCTGGATCTTCTCCAGCTCCCGCAGACAGGGCGGCTCTGCACGCGGGACAAGGGCACCCGTGACAAGGGCACCCGTGACAAGGGCACCCCCTGGGCCGCCCGCCCGCCCGCCCCGCACGCACTCTCCCTCCAGAAGCAGAGGCACCACTCGGCGGCGGAGAGGCGCCCGTCGGCGGCGTGCGCGTCGCACGAGTTGAAGAAGGCGCGCACGCACGCCTCGTACTGCTCCAGGTTGATGGCGGCCAGCTCGGCCGCCTCCAGGAAGCCGTCGCCGCTCGTGTCGAGGCGCGCGAACATCCAGCCCGTGGCGGCCTTGCAGCCCGGCGCCGCGCCGCGCTCCGGCGCTGCGGGAGCCAGGGTGGGGGGCGCGTGGGGCCGGTCATGCGCACCCCCGGCCCCCCGTGTCCCCCCATGCGCCACCATCCTACCGGCGCTGCCGGCGGAGCCGTTGAGCTTGGCGTTCTCGCGCAGCAGCTGGAACCAGTCGCGCAGGCGGTCGCCCAGGTCGGCCAGGTCCTGCCCGGTGCAGCCGTCTGTGGGGGCAGCGTTGTCCATCGGGGGCCCGTTGGGTGCCCCCATGCCCGGTCCCCGCTCACCTCGCGCAGTGGCGGCCGTGGGGCCGCGCTCGGTGGGGCAGGGACAGGGGCCCTCGCACTTGACGGTGAGCTGCTTGCTGGCCAGGCACGCCTGCTGCTCCAGCTTGCACTGTGGGGTGAGGCGAGTGTGGGCGCCACGGGGCGCCGCGCCGTGGGGCGTCCGGCGCCGTGGGGGCGGCCTTACCGCCGAGCTGTACGTGTGTCCGTCGGAGCCGCAGACGGCGGCGAGCGGGGCGGCGTGGCAGGCCCGGCAGGCGCCCTCCTTGGTGTCGCGCGCTTTCCAGCTCGCCGGCGCCTTGAGCCTGCGCGCGGGAGCGAGAGGGGCGCGTGGAGGCGCCGGCTGCGCCGGGGCGGCCGCCGCCGTCGCCGCGTGCTCACCTGTGCTCCAGCTTGCGGCGGCTGATGCACATGGCGCGCTGGGAGCCCTGCGCCACGCACACCTTGTGCCGGCTGCACTTCACCTTCTGGCACGGGTCCTTGGTGGTGTCCGGTGCTGCGGGGACACGGAGCTGGCTGCGCGCGGGCGCCCCGGCACGCGGCGGTGCCAGCACCGGCGCGCCGGCTCTACCTTCATCGAGCGGCCGCGTGTCCTCCCAGCTCTTGATGTAGTCGTCCTGCGGGAGGCAGAGGGCAGCGCGTCGTGGCGGCCCGAGCGGCAGGGGGGACAAGTGGGGCACGGGGGACACTCACCTCCACCTCCTGGCGCCGCGGCGAGACCCCAAGGAGAGAGGAGGAGGAGGGCGGTGAGCGGCACGGCGAGGGGCTCCGCGGGGCAGCGYGCGGGAGGCGCCGCGCGGTGACACAGCTAAACGCGGCGCCGGCCCCGTGGGGACAGGGAGGCTCCGCGTCCCGCATCCCCGGGCGGGCAGCGGGGAGGGGGCTGCGGACGCCCCCGGCGCGGTGCCTTTGGGGTGGCATTGAGGCCACGCGGAGTGGCGCGGGGGCAGCGCGCGCGCAGGGCGGTGCGGCGCAGGTGCCGGGATGCAGGGGGATGGGATGTGGGCACTGGGGAGCCAGGGGATGGGATGCGGGCATGGGGATGCAGGCACCAGCGTGCAGGGGGATGGGAGGTGGGCGCCGGGGAGCAGGTGCCAGGATGCAGGCACCGGGATGCAGGGGGATGGGATGTGGGCACTGGGGAGCAGGGGGCCGGGGAGCGGGTGCGGGGATGCAGGCACCGGGATGCAGGGGGATGGGAGGTGGGCAGTGGGATGAAAGCACTGGGCTGCAGGGGGATGGGATGCGGGCGCCGGGATGCGGACACGGGGCTGCAGGGGGATGGGATGCGGGCGCCGGGATGCGGACACGGGGCTGCAGGGGGATGGGATGCGGGCGCTGCGGTGCCGGGCGCTGCGGCGCAGCGCGGGGGGCTGCGGTGGCTGCAGCACCCGCAGCAGCAGCGGCGCACCCCACACGTCCCCTCCCTGCCCGCGCCGCGCTGCGCTGCGCCGTGCCGGCGGGCCCGCCGCGCACTCACGTCTCGGAAGCGGTTCCAGTGCTTGATCCTGCCGCTGTACTGGGCGATGGAGGAGAGCCATTGTTCGTCCTCCATGAAATTGCCGGCGCTCTCGCCCGCGGGGCCCGCGCCGGTGCCGGCGGCCGCGGGCAGCAGCAGGGCGAGCAGCGCCAGGGCAGCGCGGCCAGCGCCGGAGCCCCCCATCCTGCTGCTGCTGCTGCGGCGGCGGCGGCGGCCGCGGGGCGGCTCCGCGAGGCAGGCGGGGCTCCCGGTGGCCCCGCGGCTCCCCCCGCACCTGCGCGCCGCGCCGCATCGCCACGCCGCGCGGGGCGCACGGGGACCCCATCCCCGCGGCCCCCTCCAAGCACCGCCGCGGGGCCGCACAAAGTCAACGCCCTTCTACCCCACCGTGCAGACGGTGGGGACAAGACCCCCTTGCTCCGTCCCAGGGGGCTCCCCGTGGCCCCCAGGGGCTGCAGCACCCACAGCCGCCGATCTCGGGGCCTCGAAAGCCACCACGGGCCCCCCGGCGCACGTTACGCAACGGGATTACGGGCTGGGCAAGTTTAAGCACACACAGAGCAGGCTGCTGGAGCAAGGGCCGGGGCAGGACATGGGGAAGGGGGGGACGCACACAGGGACCCTTAATCCTGCGGCCCAACGGAGCTGCTCTTTTGGGCGGCTGAGGTTTTCCAAGCACCTCTCCCAGCCGGAGCACGGGGACGGAACGAAGACCCAGGATGCTGGGCTCGCCCAAGGCAGGGGCTGCTCGGGTGGTGTCAAAGAGCTCGGCTCTCTTTTAAGCCAAGAAACCACCTCCCAGGCACGGCCGTCTTTCCTGCCGAGCTCCAAAACCTTCCCTGGAAGCGGCTCTTGCCATAAACGCTTTCTTATTAACACAGTTAGGCGCTGGAATTTTAATTACAGCAGCTATCAACGCAACAGGAGATAAACAGGCTGCTTTTGAAGCTAATTCATTCGCTGGGAGATCAACACCACGCGGCTGGAGACGCCAGCAGCGCCCAGCCTCGACACCGTGAAATCCCCTTCTGGAATAAAGTCACTTTCGAGCAGTAGGGACACCCCCAACGGAGCCCGCACCAGTTTTCCCGAGGGAAAAAAGCACCATGGAGGAAGAGCAAAGCCTGTTCCTGGCTGCAAAGCACTTGTGGAATGAGGCATCCTTGTTGGGAGCTCCTGGGTTTCTGGCCAAAATGCCCGTCCTGTGAAAATGTACTTCCCTGATGGATCTCTGTGCCTCCGGGCACGGATGGGAGTCGCGTTCCTGCTTCAGGAAAACGTCAGCTGGCCGGAGGTCGCGTAGTAGCCGGAGGCGTCCGAGGAGAAGCGCTGAGAGAGACGCACCGAGTCCAGCTGCACCTCGCCGAAGGAGAAGTTCTCAAAGAGCTGGAAGAGAGCGGGGAAAACGTGCCAGGAACAACCTGGAAAACCACACAACCAGCGCGGCCTCGCAGGCCTCCTGCGGGGAACAGCCTCAGAGATTCGCTGGGCCTCTCACGATGCTCTTCCTGAAAAAGGAGAGGTCCCGTCCCTGCTGTGCGGCCGCTCTGTTGGATTACGCTGTGGCAACTGCCCGCTCTGAAGAGCAGACGATGCTCCGACAGGAAAAGGGAGAGAAGAGAGGGAGAGGAATGACTCCAGGCACACAAACCCCATTTTACACAATTAAAGATTGATATAAGCAAAGATTAATTCTGTCTCCAAAAGCCCGCGTGGTTCGCGGCGAGAGGGCTTAGGCTAAAACGCCTCATTAATAAGGAATGACGGGAAGGCAGGTGACAGGAGGGAGATTCCGCCAAGGTGGCTGSTTCTCCATTCCATTCCTCCCGCTTTCGCTCCCGGGCACCTTTCCACGGATGCCTCCTTGCTCCCCGTGCAGCGAGGGCAGTCGCTACACGGAGCGACGGCAGCCCAGGCACCGTCAAGCTGCCGCAAGCATTCCCGAACCCCCAGGGCTGCCCTTGGCCATCCAGGAAGGGATACTGGAGCCCCTGGGGCTTGGGAACAGATGTGGGGACGCCAGGGGACTTTCGCTGCTGTCTCGCTCRGGTGGACGCCAAGCGGAGCCAGGGAAGATATTTGCATCTCCCCTTCCCTCCCCAGCTGCCGAGGAATCCTCCTGGTTTTGGAGGATGGGCTCCGGCMTCGCCCACAAAACGCAGCCTGTGGAAGCACCCTGGGCCCCCTCTCCCAGGAAAATGCGGGGCAATAGGGAACATTTGGCAAGGAAGAGGGGGAAGGAGAAAGCCGGTGATCCGCGGGGTTGCTAAAAGCCGTGTCATCTGATTGGAGCGGGATGTAGGGCTCAGCAAAAGCACAGTAATTCCGTAAATCCAAACACACTGAAGGATTTACAGCCTCGCTGCCTGGAGAATAAATAAGAGGTTGGGGGTTGGGTTCCCCCCCCCTCTAATRTTATAAATGAAAATAAACCTGGTAGAGGCAAGGAGCAATTCCGAAAGTCAAGGAGCTAACTCCCATCAGGGAGGATGGGAGCATCCATCAGGATCAGGGCAGCAGACTCAGGAGACCGAGTGCCCTCTGCTTCCTCACATGAAATCAGACTTGAAGAAGGACAAGGCATCGGTACCTTCCCACCCCTGTGCCGACACGGGAAGGTGGTGGAGAGGCTCCGCCTGCTTCCCTGTTCCGCTCCACGGCCGGAGGAGCATCCCAATGGGATCACCCTGCGGGCTGTGTCCTTCCCAGACGCAGATCCAAGAGGCAGCACGCGCGACTCGGGCCTTTGGATCCCCCTGCAGCTCCATGGAAATTCATGTGCCAGTGGAAATCCAGCCCTAGTTGCTATGGTGAAAGGCACTCTGCAAACCGAGCGACAAACACGAGCGGGACATTTGGAGGTTACGGCATTTTTTGCACATCTTTTCCAAGGAGAACAAAAAAAGGCAGCACGTTTCAGGCTCTGCCGCCCTCCGCTCTGCTTCACGGGGCAGCTCATTTACGGACACGAACACTCRACCGTGGCCTTGCCCTAAAGGAGCCTCGGGGCTCCTGGCAGCCCCTATTCCAGCGTTTGAGGCTCCGCGGATGCAGATACCAGGACAAGGAGCTGCTTCTCYCCCAAGGCAAACAGCAATTCAAGGCACCTGGAAGTTTCATGGGAGGCACAAAGCACTCGTCTCTTAGGGCACAGGCTTCCCCTGGGCTTCCCGACTGCAGCGCCTTTTCCACGGATGGGCCTCAGCACGGAAGGAATTCCGGCTCCCCRACGCAACTCATCCCACAGGCTCTATTTTCCGAGCAGTGTGGGAAGGGGCCCRGTGGAAGCGGCAGGGTGTGTTTAGCTCCAAGGAACGGGCAGGACGGAGGGTGATTAAATAAAATCCTGACGAGTTCTGCTGAAAGCAAAATACCAGCTGGAGCGGCGGCACGCTATGGGCAAACACGAGCTGCCGGCGCGTCTGCAGCTCCGAGGCCGCTCCGGCGCCGCGCTCCGATGCCGCGCCGGAGCCCTCGGGCTTCACTTTGCCCTGGTCTTAGTCGGGCACCGACAAAGCGGGCGGTTATTCCTCAAGTCCKGGCACACACGGGGCTCCTGGCAGAGCCCGGAGCCGCAGGCAGGGGCACAAACCTGCCTCGTCGTGGCCGCTAGTGCCCTGGTGCCACTCGGATCCTGCTGCCGAGGCTGACGAAGAGGGCAACGTCCCGGAGCAGGCGAGGATCAGGAACACGCAGGGAAGGGGCGAGGGAGGGAGGCAGGGAGAGGCGGCGCATCCTTGCAAGGTCATGCGGGAATGCTCCGGCGCCCAGAGCTATTTAKGACTCTGGTAATTAATTAATGCCAACGGGCGCGCTGCTGCAGGCACGTGGGAGACCGAGGGGAAATATGAAGCRAGCAGGTTCGGAAATGTAGCGGGGGGGAGGCAGGATGACATTCCTGGCAGCAGGATGAGCTTTGGAGCCATTACCAGCAGCCTGAGCAGCCCGCAGCTCTTTGGACTCCATCAGTGCAAAATAAAAACAATAAATATATTAATATATAAAAATCAGGAGCATTCAAAACGCATCGGCTGGTGTTCTACAGCTTCCAAGTGTGGGCTCCGCTGGCGCCACCGGCAGAGGGAGCATCCTGGTGCCAYGGGAAGCGCGTGTGCTTGCGGATGACGGGCATTAAGGATGAAGGGCTGCTYGATTTGCTGCCTCTCTCCAGTCTGAGGGCAAATTTAACCAACAGGGAAGGACCAAAGAGCTAAGTGAAACGTGGACGTGTGCCTAGAAAGCTAAGTGCCTGCACAGACCCGGCCTTCTCGCACACGCCTTCCAGAATCTGTGTTATTTTCCAGCTTGTTTTGCTCCCTGGGCTTTTATTTTCTCCATGGGCCTCGGTGCGGCACTGCCATCTGCCCTCAGATCCTGCCTACCCACTACTTCTCTGGAGCAAAACCAAGCAAAAGTCAACAGCAAAGGTTTAAAAAAAATCCCCCCAAAAACCAGCATGTGAAGTTGCAGGTGGTTCTAGTGGTGTAAATATATATATGAGCAAGCAGAGCAAGAGCAAACGAGCTCTCCTTTTGGGTGGGCTGAGGACCAGCAGGAGCCCAAGTCTCCAAGGAGAACCACGAGGGAAGCAAATAGCAACATGGACACCCACTTGGCACTGGAGCGGCCTCCTCCTGCTCCAGCCTTGCCAGCCTTAGCAGTGCTCCTGTTCAACACCGTAACGCTCCTAATTATGAGTGATCCAGACTCATATCCACCTGTTTTCCAAACGGATTCCCTCCGGTGGCACCCGTAAGCTTAGGAGAAAAGCAGTTTTCAAGAGGTGTTTCCGTTGCTTTGGGCTGGAAACCAACACCCTAATTATTTCATGCTGACCTTGAGGATGTTCTGGCCATTAAAGGACTCCCGTTCCTTGCAAGACGATTTACCAGCCGCTGAGCTGCTTCGCTCTTCAGCTGCAAAGARAAAAGCACGAGACAGCTTCAGCTGGGAGAACTGCATGTGCCGTCCTTCATTTCCCATCCCTCCCTTCCTGCTGCCACCTTTGCCCAATTCCCCGCGCAGAAACATTCCCACTCGGCCTTTGCAGGGAACAGGGCTCAAGCCAAGAGCTCCTCCTGTCCAGGCTGCTGCTTTGAGCGCATTTAGGGGAAGGGAGCAGCGGTACCTACCACTGGGGTCCTTCCTGAAGAGGGTGTTCATGACAGTGGCGTGGAGCTTCACCCTATCCCACTCCTTCAGCATGAGGCCGGAGGCCACAAAGCGCTCCACCAGTTTATCCGCGAGCACCTGCAGCCTGCAGGGGCCCAAGGAGAGAGGTCAGCAGGACACGAAGCCTCCTCGTGCCCCTGGGAAAGCCCAGCAGGTCCTTAATGGAAAGGCAACAACCTTCTCTGAGCTCTGCAAATCAGTTCTGAAGCAAAAGGTTCTGGCTGTTGGGCACAGCTCCCTTCCTCAGTGATCGCTTCTGCTGTGAAGACTGCACGAGGAAGGGCTAAAACCTCTGGACTCCAGAGGGATCCACCCTCATCCATAGGGTGCACCCAAAGCGTCACCCGTCCATAAAGCAGGATGTGGGCTCCTCTCCCACCTCCGAGCAGCCAGACAGCGCTCTCGCTCCCCCGGGAGGCATCACCTTGGTTTCTCAGCTGTAACAGGACACGGTTTCGCTGAGGCTCTGGCATCAYGGTGCTCGCTGGGCTTTGTGCTGCCCATCGTGGGCTTCCAGCAGCAATTTCAAGGCTCGCAGACTACCAATTCTCATGCATTTCTGCCCCTCGCTTTCTGGCTCTTACATGAGCGATTTTCACAATTAGCAACAACCAGGATTAAATGACTATCCTTACAGACAAAGCTAAAACAAATTAGCAGAGAACAGCTCAAGTGAAAACGGTGCTTTATCGCCTTATAAAGTTAATCAAGGAAATGAAACGAATTAGAATGAATTATAATGGAAATTATTTGCCATGTGGGAGACACGAGAGCACCATCAGTCTCTCAGCCTGAGCCATTCTACATGTGGAAGGGCTTGACAAGCCCTAATGCTGCCTGTGGTTCCGCAAGCTAAGGCAGGGCAAATCAAATCTCCTGCTTTATAGCTTAAGYTCAGGGAGATCATGGGAAGATCAGGAAACATCTCCACCCCTCGGCCCCGCCAGGAACCACCTGGAATAGCTGGCCAGACATCTCACACAGGATGACAAGGCACAAAACTCCCCAGTGTTGGCAGCCACCATCAGCTCTGGCACAGCAAAGCACCTCTTTCTAGCTGTGAGAAAGAGGCTGTGGTTTCCACCCGCTTTGCCCGTTTCCCCGAGCTAAGAGCTACTTAGCAGGCAAGAAGCGTGTGTAGCTGCTCGGCAGCGACCCGTGCAGCTGACTGGAAAGCAGAGCAGGTTTTGACGGAGGAATCTCCCTGCTTCCCTTCTTTATGATCGTTCCTTGGGCAATAAATTGTCTCCTGGAGTCTCAGCAAAAGCCAAAGAAACTTATAGTGCTCTAAATCAACATAAAAATGTCTCTTTTTCCCCTCAGCAAAACTGAATGTTTGCTGAACTCTCGCTACTGGCTCATGGACTGGGTTAGGACAGAGGTGCTGGTTCATCCTGCTGTGAGAGATGAATCAATTGACAGGAAAGGACAGGACCTGCCTGGATGAACAGTTACAACCATGTGATGCACTCCSAGAGCGCCGAAAGCAAAAGATGTGCTGCAAAACACAGCTCGGGAAGTCTTTAAGTGCCAAGATCCAGGTCTGGCCCTATCTGGGTTACGGAGCACGAATAACTTCATCTTTCCGACCAGCAGGACTCACCAACTGGGGCGGGGGTCTTGGGAATTCCTGCTTCCATGGGGCTCTCCGTACGTTGAGGGGAAATGCAAGAAGGGAACACGAGGGACTCACCTGTCTGAGCCATCCTTCATGTGGACTTTCGCGTAGAGGACGTYGGTCATGGTAGGGTCATCGTTCATGTACTCCACCCCTGCCACCTCCACGACCAGGGGGCTGCCTCCGGTGATTTGGCTGCAATGCAAGAAAACCCTTAATTTAAAGCACAAAACAACCCCGCTGCTTTTGAGATACGACCCAGTGTGCTTGGGTTTGCCAGTGAATGATATAAATACATTATTTTTGCTAAAGGGAAAGACAATATTTTTCCCATATATTGACCAAAAATCCCCAAAACATAAAAGCCTCCCCTGTTTCTAAAGCGTGATAACTGCTAATGTCTCATTTTCTCAAGAAATACTATTCAATTCTCCAAATCCACACTTCTGCCATATTGGACATACMGTAAGTCAACCTGATGGCATTCACAGGCCATCTCAGGGCAGACATCTCCATCTAGTCCATATAAAAACCCATCAGCCTCTCTCTGACTCTATCACCGAGTGCAGTTTTAAGTACATTTGAATGTGCTGGAAGCAAAATGAGCTGTTTTCTAATTGCTTCCAGCTGCTCTTGCAGGAAGGCAGAGCCTAAAACACACGATTCAATAGACACTCCCACACCTGGCCAGTACAAGGCCATGTATCTCATAAAAAGGGGCAGCAAGGGCACGTATCTTCCTTCATAATGCGTTGCGTGCATGCAGGAAAGCAAACACACACTAATGAAGGCCTACGTGGAAGGAGGGGGAGCCTAAATCAATTTTAAAAAGTGTGTTTATTTGGCAAAGCCAAGAAAAATAACTGTGTTCAAAAGGTGATTTCTCCTCCACCCAAGGAAACGGTGGCTAAGGATTTCCTCTCGGTTCAATCCACTTATGAAGAAGGCAACGGCTACTGCGGGAAACTTGCTTGCATTTTGGTTTAACAGGTTGGGGCRGCGGGGAAAGGAGCCTTAATTTTAGAGGAAGAGGTGCAAATTTTGGCCTTGCAGCAGTTCTCATAGATATCAGCAGGCTAAACCCTCATGGGCCATGGTGAAAACAAAGCAGGCACTCTGCATGCTAAGGCTTTGCAGCAATAAATACATAAACCAGCCCCTCAGGCCACTCGGCAGTGCAGGGATAAGCTAATTGTGGTGCCATTTGGCCACATTTGCAGTTAACAGCAGAAATTTCTTCACAGGAGAAATAACTGGGACTGCTGTAGGAAAGGAAAGGAGTAGAGGAGGTTTCCAGGCGGTGCCGAGGGCTGGAGCAGAACTACAGGTTACAGTCTGTGCTAGTGCTCCGTGAGGTTTGATGACCCCGTTGGGAGCGTTTTGGGCTTTGCTACGTTTCGGGGCTGCGAGGAGCCCTTCTGGGGCACTCACTCCACGAAGTCGTCCTTGCAGCGGCGCAGGAGCTCGCACGCCTTGCGGATCTCCTGCTCGCTCAGCAGCACCAGGGTCCCCAGCGTCAGGTGCAGCTTCGCGGGGTTCTGGAACAGGCTGCTGCTCACGCCGGGGTCCTACAAATCAATCCATAAATCATGTATTTATTGAGGTCTCCCATGCACGGACACCCCTTCCTCAGAGGGGAAAATACGACACGAAAGAGGCCCCAGGTTGCACGTCTCCCCAGCTGGCCAAGCTGAAACAAGAGACAAAGTCTGCAGGGGGTTGGTGAGTGGGGGAATCCACCCCAGTAGAAAAGTCACATTTTTCATGCAAGAGTCATGATTTTRTGACTATTTTGGCCGTAGCGACAAGCTCCAAACGGTCTGTAAATCCTGTCCAAACACAGGCTGTACCTCCCAGCACAAGCTAATGCCAGCTCTGATAATCACATTTCTCCTGTTCCCATGCGCTCCGTAGCTTGTCGGGATGAATTGCCATTAAGGTCCCTTTACAGCCAGAGCTACGTGTTGTTGCTGGGGAAGAACTGCTCCCAGGTGGAGCCGCGCTTAAGCTGAGCTTTAAGAAACAGCTTTTGTTCTGGGACTTTTTATAAAAATACCTCAAGGGTGGTTATCAMATCCATGTTAAAACAATCATTTCTACTTAGTGGCCACTTCCCATCGGCGCATTAAATAATCCCTGGTTTTAACTCCCAACACCACGGAAATGTTATCCTCCTGCAAAAAGGGAGAACGAGTTTAGGAGAATATCCCCTGTGTGCATCGCGTGGATGTGACAACGGCCGTTTTAGCTTGTGCTTCTCTCCCAGACACTGCCCTCTCACGGCCAGAAAACACCCTCAGATCTGACAGGGGACATCAGGGAGCTTAGAGCACGCAGGGATCTAAACCGAGCAGGTGGCAGAGCAAGTTGGGAGGCAGAGGAACAAGAAGGCTGCTCTCCTTTCTCCTAAGACAAAGCTGTATCACCTTTGTGTGCGATGCACAGTCTACCCCAGGCTTCCCGATTAGATCTCTTGTGGGGAAGAGAGAAACAAAAGGCCTCAGCAGGCTGCCCAACACCGAGTTTCCCTTCCCTGGAACCGCCCATTAGTCATTTCCTACATGGAAAGGGACTGACTGTGGAAGAGAAGCACCTGAATTCTAATGTGCCAATTCCAGATTAGCAACTCGCTTCCACTCAGGGGGCCTTAAAACGTAGCTCTTTCCTCTCTCACGCTGCTTGGACTTCTGCCATTGCTGCCCTCCTGCATGGAGCATGGAAATGGTTTTTGTCGGAGCCCTAACCTCTCTTTTCAAAGCCTGGGCACACCATCTTCACAAAGCTAAAACATCAGTGCCAGGAAACCACAGTCCAGAGCATAATTCAGGCTTTGCACATGGCTCGAGAAAGGATTGGACTCATTTGCTCTTCCTCCCTGAGTGCATCCTTCACACTGTCTTGAGAGCTTCCAGTATCCGCAGACAACCTTGCGATTTTTACCCTTGATGGCAGGACACTATATGTCCTCTGCCTGACAGTCATATTTCTGTGCCATGCTACATCTGCTAAGACTGCAAACGCTGCACAACCAAAGCCACTCTCCTTTTCCACCTGCACATTCCGACGAAATCTTTCACTCTTCCTCACGCTGACAACCAAATGACTGTGCTAGGAGACTTCCRAGGTCATGCAGTCACCCAGCTCTCCCTCTGCACCGTGTCAGTACTGAGCTTGTTCAGAAGCCACATCCCAGTATTTGTATTAAATCAGCCCTGAAAGAGCCTCTCCTCAATCCTGGGTCACTGTCTGGCTGCACTGACTGCAGCACCTTGAACGACACTGCAAGCCGTCCCTATCTCCACATAAAGTTCACCTTATACAAGGTCTAAAAGAMAAAAAAACAGTAACAGTTAGACAGCACATACCCACCAAGACAACACTGTGCTATAAACTATAGATGAATGATCAGCATGACAACTGCTCCAGAGAGCTAGAATCACTCCCAAATCTTCAATGGCCAAAAGAAATCATCACTCACACACACCTGCTCTTCTCCCTTCCTTATCACCACTGATAAACCTCRTTCAAAGCCTGAAATCTGCCTAATTCTGCACCGTTTCACGCCAGCAAAGTGCAGTAGGAAGCGGARTGCACTGCTTCTCTCACTGCAACCCACCCAGATTTCTTTGGGCACGCTGAGAAGCCCCTGATAATGCTGAGAAACTCGTTGCTTTGGCCAAATCTGTAGGCTCCCTTATTGCCCTGCGAGACAGTTCTGAATTCAGAASTGCTTTTCATTACTGACGTGCTCTGCAGCAGGCCCTGCTGCGAGACACAGCGGTGTCAGAGAGGCATTACCAGCTAGACACATGGGGCTGCAAGGGACTCCTCGAGCTAACGGGCAGCACAAGGTCTGCAAGCCCTTTTGCTACTGCTGGGGGTAAAAAATAAAGCACCACAATAAAGTGTTTCCTCGTGCTCATGCGGTGGGGACTGCAGCRCCAGCCTGTGTTCCTCTGCCCTCAGCGACACTTCCTGCTATGGGAAATTGTGGGAGATTCCCCAAAAAAACCCGTTGCAGTGAGAGGTGACCGTGGCCAAGCCCTGTGCCCTGTCACGGAGAGTGCTGTGCTGTTATTAGGAGGACTTGGGTGCTAGTTTGGAACGTATGTATATGTGTGTGCATATATATATATATATATATATATATATCCCTGGTCAGACACAGGGAGGGAAAAAATAATTCTGGAAAGATCCACAGGATGTGCTGGCAGAGAGCTAGGGAGATCAGACAGGGGGGTAACTGCATCCACAGCCCCCACAAGAGCCCCAAGCCAAAGTCTCCGTGCCCGGCAAGCACTGGGAATAACGACCAACAGAGGGAGCCAGGCAACTGCTGTCACCCACACGGGCTCCGCTACCCTCCGCCTGCCTTGGGGACTCACCTCTTGCGGAGAGGTGTTTTGTTGTCACACACAGAGGAATTTAACAGCCTTCCTGCCCCCCAGCCTGGCCCTGTGCATGGAGACACCCCTTCTGCACGACTAGAAGCACGATAAAACACCCCGAGYGCTCACCTTGGAGCATTTCTCCAGCACCTGCTCCTTGAACTGCAGGAACCTCTCCTGCACGACGGGCTGGTTGAGGGCGAAGGAGAGGAAGTGCGTGAAGGGCTGCTTCTTGCGCACGCTCTCGAGGAGCACGTCCAGACGCGTGCGGGCCGAGGCGACGCCGCTGCGCTGCTCGCCCGTGATCACTGCAAGGAAGCAGAGCAGGGTCCGGGTGCCTTTCCCGAGGCTGCGGGGACACTGGGGACAGCCTATTCCGTGTGCGGGCAACGTGGGAAGTAATTAAGCAGATTGGGGTTTTGTGCGATGCTGAAAGGCAGACCTTAAAATATCAATTACAATACACCGTGAAAATGATGTTATTTGGCCTACGGGATGGTTATTCACGGTGTTGCTGTCCCCATGGTTGTTCCAAATCACAATTTTCCTTTACAGAACAGAAAGGCACGGAGAGGCCAGGAGAGAATCACAATAACCTGCACAACAGCACCTCTCAACTATTAGCCCAGGGCTCACTAAAGAACAGAGAGGAGCTAAAATCCCCAACTGTGCAGAGGGAACTTGCCAAACCCCCTGCTTGACTTACAACACCTGACAGGGCTGTGCTTTCCCCTGCAAAGGCAGCGAAAGGTATCCCTGCGCTCTCAAGAAAACCAGCTCCGCATGGCTAAAAGAAAAAGGTGGCCTACATGGTTTGGGCTTGCACTTCAAGGCCCCAGAAAGAGAGCCCTCGAGTTCAAAAGGGAAGAACTGCAAGGATGAGATTTTCTTTGCTTCCTCTTAGGCTGCCTTCTCAGCATCTCTCAACCTTCCTGGGTCTCAGGTTGAAGTCAAGACCCACTCTGTTTCACTGGCCACAAAAAAGGCAACAGCGTCGTTGTCAAAACTCTTCCCACATTAAAGAAAGTGAAATTTGCTTCGTGCATAAATACACGACCTATCTGGGTGTACAGTGCAGCTCCTCATTAACAGCATTATTACGTATGGTAATAATAGAAGATTTTTARAAAGACGGAAAAAACAACACATCTGTGCCCCAAACTCTCAAGACAGTCATTTAAGGCACAGAAGACACTTCAGCGAGACTATTCATTGCCTAAAACAGCATCTTTTCGCTCAAAAAAAACCCCTTACACTGCTTTATGAGAGTCTATAGACAGGGAAAACAAATTGAGGAGAAAACTGAAGTGACTTTCCCGGGGCCATAAAATGAGTTAGTGGCACGCCAGGGGGCAGAAACTAAAGGAAGAATTAATTCATCATCTTCCGTTCCCTCCTCGGTGGCTGCAGGAGAGAACTGCAATTCCTGTGCACGTGAAAGCTCACCGATTTCTCCCTCCACTCCAGGCCTGGGAATGCTGATGGAGGTCCGAGTCTCCGTCTCTAACCGCTTCTTGGTCTCTCCCTTCTTCCCAATGATGTACCTAAAGGCACCAAGCCAAAGGCCCCGTCATTTTTCCCCCTCCCACACACCGGAAAAGTGGCTTTGGATTTCAGAGACGTGGCTTTTTGCCCCTAGCTTCCAAACGTGCTGGGCTCACTTGTAAAGCGGGCTGGGAACCTCCACTCGGCACTGGAAGCCTTTCTCGGTCTCCTCCACCGCAAAGGCATCGCACGGTTCATCCGCGCAGTCACCAGGGCCTGCGGGGACAGAAAAACAAGGCAAAACAACAGCACTTTTACAACCTTTGTAAAGTTTGGCAGTGTTTTTATGTAGGGTAACAGCCTCACAGGTTGCCTTTTTTTGCTCTCCTGGCAGGGTRGAAGCCTCCAGCCCGCTTGGAGAATGCAGCACGACTTTCTCAGCACACAGGAATGTGGCTAAAAGGCGTAGATGGAAAGTCCTGGTTCAGGTGCAGTGCATGTTTAGGAAAATAGGAATTCTCACACCCTTTGCAAGGGCCTTTTACAGGCAAGCCTGTCATCTGTGGGTGTCAGGTCTCAAACTCAGTCTTGCCAGCAAAGACCGAGCGCGATTTCCTCAGAAAGAGGAAGAGGCTTCTGCCTCCTTCACAGCACAGACAGAGATGGATTTGCAGGGCTAGCAACTTATTAGGGCTTCATTTGATCCTCTGAAGAGCAGGGTGGGAGAAACCAGGACACAGCGGCCGTTTGTACTTAAAAATAAAATAGCAGCTGAGCTTTCTATGCCCACAGGAGCTCCTGCAGAGCTGCGACAAACACAAATCACGGGCAAGAAGCTGAAGTTGCTCCCCTACCAGGACAGCACCAAATCTCCAGGCCCACTGTATCTGCAAATCACGGAAGAGCTGAGGTTGGAAGAGCCTCTGGAGACCATCTGTTCCAGCCCCCTGCATCCTCCTTTACCTGCATAGAAATCCGCTTCCTCTTCAGGGTGGTAGGTCTGCTCCTGAATGAGATTTTTCCTATAAATTCTTCCCCCAATCCTTATCAGGGTGGGACGTAGCACTTCCATGGTGCTCCTCTTTCTAAGGACAGCACTCTATTAAAAAATAAATAGATAGATAGATTGATAGTTCTGCAAACTTAGGGAAATTTGTAGCTTTCCCTATAGGTAATTTCTAAGGGGCATCAAAGAAGCAAAGAACAAGCAAAACTTAGCATGCCCTCAGCTAGAGGGGCCATTTTAGCACCATTCCACATTCTGGGCAGTTTCTCCTCATCGTTGGTTTTCACAGGGGAGTTTTCAGCCGCAGGTGAAAGGCACTAGGGCCTCTCACAAGGAACCCTCCACAACACCAACCTCTTTCAGAGAAACCATCATCTCCCACCAGTTTCTCCAAAAACGCAGGCCCAGCTGCTTGCCTCAGTTTGAAGAGGCCCCCTACCACTCCCCCCCAYCCCTTTTTCCAGGGATGCTGAGCACTCCCACACCTTCCCACACGCCAGGAGACCATCATCCCCCTGCCCTAATAGGAGCTGCAGCTCAACAGCTGAGAAGGGTCACTTTGAAACAGGAGAGGGGAGACAGCTGGGGCCAGTTAATCCTCCAACTCCTGCATCCCCACCTGCCAAAAAAAGCCAYGAATCCATCCCTTGGACACACAAGGCCGCCAGAAATGATCTACGTCAAACGCAGCCGTCCTGCAACACCTTGACGCGTTGCATCATGCGGCCCTTGGACTTTTTACTCCCCTAACAACAGAGAAAGTTCACGGTGGGAAACAAAGCGTGCAGGGACGCAGCGAGCCCTGCGCTTCTGGCAGCTGCTGCAGGGCAAACACGGGAACAGGGGACGCGGCGTCCCGCTCCGGAGAACGTTTCCTCATGTAACCGCACGGGGAGGGTCCCAGGAGCTGCCTCTGTCGCGGACACGCGTGTATATGTCTATTTACTTATATGTTTATATGGTTTTTAAGAAGTGAAAAACTTTCAGGAAAAAAAAGGGTTTTCATCAGGAAATTTACTCACATTGGGGGGGTAAATAAGCAGAAAAACATGCTGCCTTTCAAAAGGAACTTAATCTTAGTGGGATTGAAGGCGCATATTGGCCCTGCCGTTGGCGCACGCGCGCGGGCCGTTAACGGCCGTAAACGACCGTTGGTGCCCGGGCACGGGGGGTGGGGGGCGGGGCCGTGCGCGGCGCCCGCCCGTCCCAGCATGCACCGCGAGCGCGATCACGCGCGCCGCCTGCGCCAAGCCGTCCGCGCGCCGCGGTGAGGCTGGCGGAACGGGACCGGGAATGGGACCGGGAATGGGACCGGGAATGGGGGGGACGCGCTGGCGCCGCGAGCGCCACTCACCGGGAGGCAGCTCGCTACGGAAGCCGGGGAGGGGCCGTGGCAAGAGGAGGCGGGGGGAGGGCAGGGAGGGAGCCGCCGGTGGCTTTGCGCATGCGTTGCCGCGGGGGCATGCGCAGTGGCACTGCTGAAGCCGCTGCCCTCTCCTCGGCAGTGTGGGCAGGAGGCGCCGAGGCGCATGCGCAGAGCCGCCCCCCTTCACCCCCCACGAAATGGCCGTTGGGGTGAAGAGARGGGTAACGAAACCGCCTGGAGCCATAAGAACACACGGAAAGCGCTTAAAATCCACCCTCCCGCCTTGGGTTTTTTTTCCCCCCCACCAAATCTTCAAGTGCTGTGCAGAGCCAGCGGCTGCACAGCATAAAGAGCCCCAAGTGACAAATGGGAAGGACAGATAAGCGGGAAGTGTTTGACACTTCTGAATGCCAGGTCATATGATATATATATATATGTACACACACGCACGTATACGTGAGGTAGTTTTTAACAAGTTTTAAGTCCTCTCTTAGGACTTAAGGATACAGACAGCAGCTCTTAAAAGGAGGCCACGAAAGGGCTGTGCAAGAGGGGACTGCGCTGGGAGGCAGTTGCTCCAAAGTGGGTGTTTTTTTGGCCAAACACCCCACAAAAGCCTGTGTCAACACCCAGAGCAGCTGCTTTTTATGCTTTTCACCTCCCCTCGTGGTTGGGACCCCACGACCAAGTCGAGGTGTCTATGGGGGGCGGGCAGGGTGCCTGACTCCCTTGAACATGGCTCCTTCCTGGGCGCCCCTGCTGAATTCCTGCTGAATTCCTGGCGGCCGGGAGCATCTCCCGACCCACGTGTGTGCTTCCTCCCGGCTCGCGGCAGGCTCGGGCGCAGCGACATGGCCGCGTCGTCGTCCTCGTCGTCGGCTGGCGGCGTCAGCGGCAGCTCCGTCTCCGCCTCGGGCTTCAGCGTGTCGGAGCTGGCGCCACCGCGCAAGGCCCTCTTCACCTACCCCAAAGGCGCTGGAGAGATGCTCGAAGGTGAGCCGAGCTCCCCAATCCCAGGGGATATATTGGCACACAAGCGGATCCGCCCAAGCGGCCTCTCTCGCGTTTGCAGATGGCTCCGAGCGCTTCCTCTGCGAGTCCGTCTTCAGCTACCAGGTCGCGTCCACGCTCAAGCAAGTGAAGCACGGTAGGCGCTCCCGCGTCCCGGCGCATTCCGGCTCTGGAAATCAGGAGCTGGCGCCGCTCCCGCCCGCCTTGCCCCTCATCCGCGTAACCAGCCACTTTGGCTTTCCGGCTCCTCGCAGATCAGCAAGTGGCGCGCATGGAAAAACTGGCGGGGCTGGTGGARGAGCTGGAGGCCGATGAGTGGAGGTACAAGCCCATCGAGCAGCTCCTGGGCTTCACTCCCTCCTCGGGCTGAGCCCGCCAGCCACAGAACCTCTCCAGGGTGCCCTTTGGAGCCGCTGAAACRTGGGAAAATGCCCCCGTCCGCGGCCGCCCGGAAAGGATCCGCTCTGCAGCTCCTGGGGGGCAGCTTGTGGGGGAGCAGAGACATGGAGGTTTGGGGTGGGAGCTGTTACTGGAGCTCCAAGGATCGTCTCTTGTCCACAAGCACAAAGCGCTGCCAAAAAGCCCGCTCGTCGCTGCCAGTTTTGCAGGTGAATAAACAGGAGGAGAACTCCCTTTTYCCCCCCTATTAAACACTGGGTGTTTTTGTCATAATAAACATTTTAAAATGCAGAGTGATTTGATCTTTTCAGAGCTCCCTAATCCAGCTCGGATCATCTCCCCCCCGCGCTGGATCTACGCCTGGAACCTCACGGGTCCCAGGCACCTGGGAAGCGTCGGCTTCCCACATCAAAACCCCATTGGGGATGGGGTTATTGGGGAAAGAAAGAGCCATTTCAGCCCGCAACTTGTTTGTCCCAAACCGGCTATTTTTAATCACCGCTCACTGCGGTCCCCTAAGCCCCAAAACTGCTGGGATCTTCCCCAAATACTGCCTCTTGAGGCCAGGGGAGTGAAAAGTTCAGGAAAAACATGTTGTGTCGTCGGCGGGGAGGGGAAAGATGCGCCTGGAAATAAATGAGCGAGSGAGCGCAGGGCCTGAACAAAGAGGCTCCTTGAGGGCTGTTTTTCCTGCGGGCGCCCGCGGGACGCGATGTACCCGCTCCCTGCTCCTCCCCGCGGCCCGGCCCCCGCGGGGGAAAACAGTGGAAATAAACTCAGAAAATCTGGTTTTTGTTAGTAAAATAATACGGGGGGGTTGGAGGGAAAGCGCTGGGGTGGGATTTAGCGGGGGGAGTTGGTGCCCGGAGCCCCTTCCTCCTGCTCCTCCTCCKCCTCGCAGCGGCCGCCGTGCAGAAGTGCTGAGCTCAGCACGCCGTGCACCCAAAACTGCACGTTCTGTCCCCAAAGCGGCCGCCCTGGCTCCGGAGCAGCGCCGGGGGGGGCAGACGGGGGGAATTAACCCCTTTTTCACCCGCTTTTGGGCATCAGGCTCCTGCGGAAAGGAGCGCATTTTCTCCYGGCTACACAGGGCCGTTTTTTAACCCATTTTAAAACCTTTAACACGCCCTCAAAAAAAACACTTTAAAAAAATCTCCTTTGCCATTTTCCCCCTCAGGTTTCCAGCCCAAGCCCCCTGCTTTGCTCCCACCTGGGGGCCCCTCTCCGCATCCAGCACCAACAGCTTTTTTTTTTTTTTTTATGACGGGGAGACGAGTGACGAAGAAAAGTAAAACAAAATTAATTAAAAATAGGAAAATAATAATAAAAATGATTAAAACACGAAGGAAACAAAGCGCCCCCCCCCCCCCGCCCTGATGCAAACGCGGGCGCCGCTTGCGGCGGGGGGAGGGGCGCGGGGGCGCGCAGCGGGGGGGAGGGGGGAGCGGTGGGCGTGGCCTCGCGCTGTCGCCGGGCAGGAGAGACGCCGCGGACGTGCCGCGCGCTGCCATTGGCGGGCGCGGGCGCGGGGGGCGGGGCCGGGGCTATAAGAGGAGGGGCGCGGCGGCGGCGCGGCGCAGTCGGCGGCGGAGCGGGCGGCGGCGGTCATGCCGGGGCTGTGGGAGCGGGCGGCGGCGGGCGGCGAGCGGGGCCGGGCGGAGGGCTCCGACTGCGAGTCGCTGGGCAGCGCCTCGGGCTCGGAGGGAGGTGAGTGGCGGAGTCCGGCGCCGCGGAGGAGGCGACCGTGGGCGGTGGATTGAGGGGCTCCCAGGAGGTCCCTCTGGGAGATGGGGGTTCCCGAGAATGGAGGCGGGGGGAATCCTACAAGAGGGTGCCTTGAGGGATGGGGAGGATCAGGGGGATCCCCAGGGGGTGAGTGGGGCCCACCTGGGAGATGGGGGGGGGGGTCCCAAGGAATTTCCCCAATGGACGGAGGGGCCCTTCAAGAGTCCCCTCAGGGATATGTGTCCTGCCTAAGGTCCCCAGTGGATTGAAGGGGGCCCTTAGGAGGTTTCCCTAGGGTGTGTATCCCACGCAAGGCCCCCAGTGATTGAGGGAKGGCTGTGCCTTTGAGGGCTGTGTCCCAAATAAGATGGCCAGTGGGTGGAGGGGTCTTCCCAGGAGGGTCCCTTTGAGGGGTATGTGTCCCGAATAAGGTCCCCAAGAGGGTTGTGCCTCCTGAAGGAGGTCCCGTGGATTTGGGGAGGGGGGCTCCATAAAGGGCCCTAGGTGGGCCCTCTCCCAGGGAAGGACCCTGCTGTGGGTGCCGGTTGCTGACACTGTTTGCCTCCCCACAGACATGGAGCCCTCCCTGCCGGAGCTGGAGCTGCTGCACGACCCCGAGGACGAGCGGCTGTGCGGGCGGCTGCTGGAGGCGGTGCGGGCGGCGCTGGGGCAGGCGCCGCTGGGCGCCAAGCGCCGCTGCCGCCTCGTCATGCCGGAGCCGCTGGCGGCGCAGGTGGGCGCCGAGCTGCTGCGCCTGGCGTGCAGCGAGCCCTGCGGGCTGCGCGGCGCCCTCCTCGACGTGTGCGTGGAGCGYGGGCGGGCCTGCCACGCCGTGGGCCGCGTGGCCGCCGACCCCACCGTGGTGCCCACCTTCCAGCTGGCGCTCGTGCTGCGCCTCGACTCGCGCCTCTGGCCCAAGATCCAGGGGCTGCTGGCGGCAGCGCCCGCCCTGGCGCCCGCCTTCGGCCACGCGCTCCGGCTCGCGCCCGGATTCAGGGTCATCAAGAAGAAGCTCTACAGCTCCGAGCAGATGCTCATCGAGGAGTGCTGATTGGTGCTGCCAAGAAAAGGAAGGAAAAAAGGACAAAAAAAGTAAAAAGAAAGAAAAAAAAAAAAAACAAAAAGAACTCCCCCACCCTGGCAGGAGCGTGGTGGCTCCCTGTAGTTTAGGCTGTAGGTGGAGGTGCCGCAGCCCCCCGGGGGAGCGAGGGCCAAGCCGAAGGCGCAAGAGGAGCGGGATGCGTGACGGACACTCCACTACTGACATGTGGGCAGCTACACCGGGATGCCCTGGTGCGGGGGCCATCCCAAATCACGTCGTGTCACGGACCTGGGACACTGGTGGGCGAGGGGTGTGCGCCGGGGCCGAGGGCAGGACCCCTTGCGGAGCCCCTGGCGGCACTGTTTACACTAGTACACTTGATGTTCAAGTGCGAAACTTTCTATGCAATTGTGCTGGTTGTTGCTGTTTTTTTTTTTTTTTTACTTTTCTAATAAAACCTTTCTACTCGATGCTGCCCTCTCTGCTTCCAAGATAYTATTGTTAAGCCTTGTCTGTGTCCTCAGGAGGAAGCAGGAACCCCGGGGTGCCCGTGTGGGCTCCGGTTACCTCTAATTGCAGGACACAGCGGGTGACTCAGGGCTGGCTGTGCTGAGTCAGGCTTGTCCTGCACATCCCTGTCACCAGCGGGCTCCCACAGSATGGGACAGGGAAGTGGCTTGGGCGGCCCTGACAGGAACCATATAGAACATACACATTTATAATATATAAACGTATCCGCACTCAAGAAGCCAGGAGTGATTTGGCTGGTCTAGGGCACTGCAAAAACACGGGCTCATTTAGTAGATCAGTTAAAAACAAGGGGAAAAAATCTGAGGGAAAATTGAACCAGGCGCCAGCTCCAGGAGCTTCCCACAGCCCTCGGAGGCGGCTTTGCCAGGCGGGATATCCAGCTAGCCTTGGGAAAACCAGGTCATAAAGCGCACGGCCAACCCCCGTACATGTTTTCTGATCCATACATTACATAGGTGCCTGTTTGTGGGGCTGGGGGCGGGACGCAGTGCTCGCTCCCGCGCCCCCTCGGAGCCAGCRGCCGCGTGAGTGGGATGCCCGGCCTATTTCTAGCCGGCTGCCCTTTCCGAGGTTAAAATTGGGAAGCGTCGAGGGGGGAAAACAAGGTCCCCGCGGGGAAAACAGAGGCAGGACAGGACATCTTCCCGGGAAGGTGCCAGAAGGTGCCTTTATTTAGCCCTTCCCGGGAAAGCAAGAGAGGATACAGGGGGGGAATCACAGGGCGCGTGTGACTGACCCCATGATGCCAAGTGCTGGTTTCCCCTTTCCCATGTTTTTTCCCCCTGTGAAAATGAATGGTTTGGGATGAAGGYGACCTGGCAGAGCCGTTGCCTCCGCTGCCTTTCCCAGTAAGAGCGGGGAAGGGGCCTGGGGGCCAAGGAGCACTGGAAAGGCCTCCCGCCTGTGCGACACAAGTGTCTTAGGGACATTTATTTATGGATGGACAGGAGGGTAATTCAGGCTAAATCGGGAAATACACCTTCCTCATCCCTGTTATCCACAGACATCTACTCCAAAAACACAGAAAAAAGGAAAGGGGGAGCCTGGACAGGCCGGCTCTGCCCAGGGCACATCGTGTTGCCAGATACTCGGCACCTTTTCCCAGTGGTAATCCATGATTCCCAAACTCCACCCAAAGACAGAGGAACTGTAAGAAAAACGACCCTGGAATCCCTAAGAAACCCCCAAACCAGATGGATTTCTGCTGCTAAGGAAGCAAAGCTGCTCTCACCTCTCCAGCTTCTTCCAGCCCTCTCTCCGCCCTACCTGACGCGACTCCTGCCTGGATTGAGCAGGAAGGTTCTCCCTGGAAGTGTCTTTGGATGAAACTCAACTGCACGGTAGGAAAATAAATCCAAATAAAAACAGATCTGGGTTATTGCACTAAGGGTGCTCACTCCGTACTCGCTTGCAAGGGCTCTCAGATGGGAATCGGGGCGGGATCCTGAAGGGATCCCGTGTTTCTGCGGGATTTTCCAGGTCTCCTCTAAGARATGACACCAACATTGAGCAAAAAGTGGGAGCAAGAGGGGAAAAAAACAAGTTGGGGCAGGAATATAAGGCTACAAASGGCTGAGCGTTATGGAAAGCCCTGCTCCCTGTGCACTGATTACAAGGCAAAACCAAAGCAGACGCTGCAAAAAAAGGGAAAAGGGGGGAAAAAAAAGAGAGATAGTTATGRGCACAAAWAAACCAAACAAACCCCATGGTTTGYGGGCAGGTCCCGGTKCATTTCCACCCACTGCGGATGTGAAAATTCCTTTATTCGGCGCCCCCCAAGCCGCGGTGGCCGCAGAGTCGCTCAAACCTGGCGGAAACCCCCCCCTCATTCCCCCTGATCTCTGCATAGTTTAAAAGTACAACATATATACAGCTATAAATTAATGCTAAATAGATTATATTTTCCTTCTTTAGTGTTCTTGTAGACCCCAGTTGTCCCGTTTCTCTCTCCGCGGGCAGGGACCGGCGCCGTCCCGGAGGGTCTCCTGTTGCTTTGCGCCTTCTGCGTTGGCTTTTATCTTTTCCTATTTTTCCCTCGGCGCGTCCGTCCTCATGGCCGGGGTGTCCTAGGAGCAGCCAGAGCGTCGCGCTCGGGAGGAGGAGGAGGAGGAGGAGGATGGGTGGCTTTACTTCCTCTCCCCATTGCCGTCAGAGACAGACGGTGGATCCAGGGAGGGAAGCGGGGGGTCTGTGCGTTGCTAATGCTCCGATTCCATGTTCATTCAAGGGCTGGTTCTTGACGTGGGGTGTCTGTCACCGTGGCTCAGTTCCCTCCACCAGAGGTCCCGCGGTGTTCGGAGAGCCGGGGGAGAAAAGCGGGAGCTGCGTCGCTCTGCGACGCGTCCCTCCCGTGCTTCCCTCTSCTCGCTTTTCCCTGGATTACATGGAGGCTCTGCTGGGGATCCCGGGAGCGTTCCGCGAGGAAAAGGGGCAACTCCCATCGGCCGCCGAAGCATTTATTGAAACACCCCCGGCGGGTGGATCAAGATAAGCAGCAGGATACACCCGAAAAAGAAGGCGGACAGAGCAGGCGCCACAGGATCGCATCCGGGGGCTGATGGGCTCCGTTTGCCAAGGAAAACGGGAACAACCCAGAATTCCACGGCCAAACCTTCTCGCTTATGCCTGCGGTCACGTCGCTGGGTAGCTGCGGGCCTGGAGGAGATTCCAGAGGCCTCAAAGGTGTCCACAAAACCAAGGCTGGGTCCGAGCTTTGCTCTGGGTTGAAGCCCCTCTTCCCAGCAGCCGTGTGGGCAGAGGCAGCCTGCAGGTTTTACAGCCATCCTGGCAGAAGCAGCTCAAACGACGGAGCAGAAACGGGGCTCCCGACTCCAAATTCCTGCGTTACTTTCAGGCAGATCTCCTGGGACCTGCCCCTCGACTTGCCTTAGCTCTCCAGTCGTGAGGGTGGCAGCCTTTGGCTCCGCTGTTTTCACTACAATAGAGGCAGTTCCTGCCCCGGCTCCGGCCGTTCGCTTGGTTTCCCTGGAGTGTGCCGGGAAGGCCGCAGGCTGGGGGACAGGGACGGTCTGTTTCGCATGAGTCTGTTCCCTGTCACCGCACCGGGGGCCACCGGATAACAGATTTCCAGTAAAACAGACAATAAAGCAACAGAAAGGGGTCATTAAAAGGTGGCCGCCGAAGGCTTTGCAGGGGGAGAAAAATAAACCATGGGAAACTCCCAAGCAGCCAAGGCACAAAACCACCCGTGTGTGGAGCTGGCCAGGCCTCAGCCGAGGCTTCCGCGGCGCTCCTCGGGACGCGGCGCTGAACGGGCCAGAGGGAAGAGCCCGGAGAGAGCCAGGGGTGCCGACATGCAAAGTGAACGGAATCACCGCCCCAATTAAAGCCGGGGCACGGGGGGCGCGAGCGGGGCCGGCGCGTCCCCCGCCCCAGGCGTGCGTGCGGCCCGAGGACACTCACGAGGACTCGCGTCTCAGACAGAGGTTTAAGTAAGGACGGAAAGCGGCGGCGGGCCCGGGCGGCGCCTCCGTGGAGCCCTGCCGAGCGGGCCGGCCGCCCTACGCGTGCAGCGAGGCCTGCACGTCGGCCAGGCGGCTGCAGCTGGGGGTGCCCATGCGCTGCGCCCGCTGGTACAGGTCCGAGTCGCCGAAGTAGCGCGCCCGGTACAAGAGGCCCTCCTCTGTGGGGACAAGGAGCCACCGTTAGAGCCGGGCACCCCACAACCTGTGCCCGTTTGGGGGTGCAGCCGCTGTTACTCACTCTGCTGCTTCTCCTTCCAGCAGCTGTTGCGCAGGTTGGCGATGTAGTCGTCCTCCACGCTCCTCTCGACGCTCTTGAGGCTGGCGCCCGTGTACTCCTCGGCAAAGCTCTCCGACACGTAGTAGACGACCTTGAGGTGCTCCGTGACCCGCCGCTGCGTGTGGCTCACCGACCTGTGGGGCAGGGAGACACCCGGGCCTCAGCCGTGCTGCTCCCCCTCCAAACCAATACGAAACGAATGGCTCTAGGTGCAAAAACGCTCATTTTCAGTCCTGCTCAACACCACAGACGTCACGTCTCAACACTCCTCAGCCTGTGACCTTTATGCACAGCACTAACGGCCCGGCCTTTGCCTTGGMCTTGAGAGCTAAGTTGGCCTTTGGAGTCATCTAAGGTCCCCCTCGGCAAACACTGTCACCAGGCCTACAGCCCAAGCCTCCCTCCTCCACCAACCTTTTAAAGACACCTCAGGGACTCCAGGAGGGGGAGCAGCAACATGGGGACAAGACAAGGCCAAACAAAGCAGGGAATCCCAAGGCTAATTCCCCATCCCATACTGTCCCCACCCCAAAAACTGAAGTTTAAGGAAGAGCAGGTACTGACGGCCTGTGGCTCAGGCTGTAGGGTGGGCTGGAGACCATCATCTGGCTGAGAGCAGACACGATGATGAGGATGAGGATGGGCATCAGCTGCACAAACAAGCCGAGGCCGCCCTGAGGGAAGAGAAACACACAGTGGGGCAGCAGCCAGGACGCTGGGCACACAAGGACCCGCCATCCAGGGCTGCTCTTCCCAATTTCAGAGCACCTGAAAGGGGCTCTGCCTTTGGAAATCAAGGGATTAAACAAGAGGAGCAATGTTTGCCCTGAGTTAAGAAACAAGGGCACTTTTACTGATGCAATCTTATTTCAAGGTGTGACCGCTTCAAGACACGTCACCGTGTTCCTCCCTGGAGGACAGCTCGGAAAGCCCGGGGAGAGCAGCCAGCTCATTAAACCAGCAGCTTCTCGTACATTCTGGAGCCAATTCACGCTCCCCGTTACTCATTTCTGCCCAGAAGTGCGAAAACCAGAACTGACCCATGGCGCAGAGCGGGCAGGGAGCTGCAGTTTCGATACCTTTCAATACCTTCAATGCACTTTTACAGTCCTTTCCTGCACTTACATCCCCCTGGTGTTCTCGTCTGTCTTGCCTCTGGTGGTAGGTGTAGCGCATCCTGCCGTTGCTGTATACGTGCACGTTACCTATAGGCGAAAGGCAACCGTTAGAAGGAACCCACAGCACCTTGTACCCTAGCAGGGAGCCAGAATTGGTCTCCTCAAGGGAAAAGCAGCCCTGGGCAATACAGAAATGTGTCCCCTGGAGCTTCTGGGGATGGAAGGACAGGGGGAGACGCTCTCTGATAAAGGGGACCAAGGTCCTGCCTGAGGCAGGGATGTCCCAGGGGGAGGCAGGGAAGGGAACTTGACACCTCGCTGTAGCTTTAGGTCATGGCGATATGAGACATCACGGGGGACTGACAGCAGAATTTATACCAAAAACACCCTATATTTATCCCCTGAAGGCAGCATTTCCATAAGAAACCTTGCACAAAGCCTCAGCTGCAAGAGGAATCTTCTCAGGGCATGCTGAGCAATTTGGAGGCAACAGGGTGCTGGCCACCGAATCCTGCTGCCAGYTCTAGGATTCTGCAGGAAATCCGGATCCTGGGAAAGGGAGCTCCAGAGGTCACCTAGTGCAGCAACCCCCTGCTTGCAGCAGGCTCAGCTATGAAGAATATATCCTGTGCAGGCTTCTCACTTTGAGGAGGATTTAATTTTAGATGAAAAGCAATTAAAAGAGAGAACATCTTGGGAGCTTTTTCCACCACCAAGAKAGAGCTCCCGCCCATCTCGTCTCAAACGTCAAAACTGCAGCTGAAAAGGGAGCCCCGCTGAGAAACCGCTCCTGGATTCCCACGGGAGAGAAGGGAAAGGCAAAGAGAGGAGGAAGCTGCTAAAATAGCAGCTGTTTTTACTGGAGCAGCTTCACCTCTCCCCCGCACAGAACAGGAATACAAAAGGTCTCGGGGTGCTTTTTCAAGGAACTGAAGTCAGGGTGCCAATTCTGAAAAGTCAGATAGGAAAGAGCAACYTTCCATCTATCTCACTGAAACAGAAGTATTTATTTTTGCAAGCAGGTCCAGAGAGGGCAAATAATCACGCCTCCACTTCCAGGCACCTCTGACTGCAAAAAAACACAAGGGAGGCTTCCAAAACGCCCCTGCCCTGATATTAAATGTGCCTTTTTGATCTGAACTGATCAAGAGAAACAAGGGGCACTCTGTTTCTTCCTGCTCCCAAACAATGATCGGCACCGTGCACGGACATGATGCAGATTTGGCTCAAATAGTTTAAATTATGCTCTAGAAATAAAGCTTTGATCTTTTCTAGGGCACCCGGTGGAGGAAAGGGAGACTCAGCTCAAAGAAAGGGTTTCAGCTGGGTGGCAGAGCCACCCCAGAGAGGGGTCAAGAACCAGGCCCAGAAGTTATTACAGCTTCTTCTGATGAGAAGATTTCACATTTAAAACCACCAGGCAGAAAACCTCTTGTCAAAACAGTGTTACTTTGACAAATAACATTGAAATAAACAGGTTTTGCTCTAAGGTTCACCCCATCCTCAAGAACACCCGGAGCTGGGAAGAAGCCCGGCTCTGAGGGTGTCACCTGCTGTTCTCCAAGCAGGACACAATTCCCCTCGGAAACTCCACGTGTTTGGGTCACTTATGAAGGAGAACTCCCCAAAAACCAGGCTGTGGGGAAGAACACGGCTTTCCCCCTAAATAACTGCGGCTTGGGGCCCGAGAGGAAGGCTTAGCAGGCTTACTGGAGGGGAAGCCACCGCCGAAGAACATGTTGAAGAGGTCCTCGGGGGAGATGTCCGCCTCAAAGCCGCGGTGGAAGTCGGCGGGGCCGTGGCCGGACGGCGCCGCGTGGAGCTTCTCGTCGCCGAACTGGTCGTACTGCTTCCTCTTCTCGGCGTTGCTCAGCACGGCGTACGCGGTACCTATGGCTGCAACGTGCGCAGTGAGGGTGCCGGCGGGAAGGGGATTCCTTTGGGAACGCCGCGCTCATTCCCGCAGGCTGGAAGGTCCTTATGGAAGCACGAGGCYGAAGCTCGGGCGGCACTGGCAAACGCACCCTCAAGAAAACCACGCCACAAACTCCCTGCACGAGGCCTTCGTTAATTAAAACCAAGTAGCTAAATATTACTGGGGAGTTATAACATCATTGGTGTGAATCTGGYGTGAGCCCACTGAGAAATCCTTCCAGACGAACATTTAGCCATGAATTTCTAAAGAAATTTTGGTGGGAAAGCAGCTACTCGTCACCCCTAATTCAGCCCGCTATTTCTGAGTGCTGTCCAGGTSCTGCAGCCTAAGACACCGCACAGCAAACCACGGCCGCAGCTGACAAACCCTGCCCAGAAGTTGTCCTCTGCAGCCCCAGCCTTACAGCCCGAAACCAGAGCTCCAAAGGATTTCACTGTGCCCTACATCCCCAAAAGAGGCTTGAAAGCTTCCAGCGAGACCTAGTTAGGAAACGTCCCCTACAAGTTCTGTCCGTTAGCTAAAACATTCCCAGGTGCCAGCAGGAAGGGGCACGATTACGAGGACAGGCCCGTGACAGTGGAAATGTACTGGAGCTAAAGCRCAGCCAGTTACCCAGGTAACTCCCTCCCCAACCTCAGCACGTAATAACCAGGCTGCCAAAAATGCCTCCTCACCACCACCTTCCTACTTCTGTACTTCTTTCTTTACACATCCCAATTTGCCACTTCCACCCTGTGCTCCGTACTCAGCTGCCGGAGCCTCCTCTCACCTCCCGCGGCATCACGAGGGGGTAAAAAATTCACGGCACTAGAGAGGATGTAAAATAGGCAGGAACGAAGCAGGGGAGCAGAGGAACCCCAAGAACCAAAGTTTTGCCAGGAAATTTTTGCCAGATTGAGGTGCTTGGTTTCTTCTTAGAGCTGGAGAAGGGAGGATATGAAGTCAGGAGGTTTGTTCCTGGTTATAACCAGTGCACACCAAGCAAAATATTCCTGCAAGGAAGGYAGGCTCCAAGGGCTGACTCTCAGCTTGCTCTCTCAAACCACACATTAAGCAACATGAAAAAGGGAGAGATTTGGGCCCTGTTCATTGTGGAGCTTTCTGCTGACCAAGGCCAAGGAACATCTCRGCCCCAATCAGGATTTCAGCTCCGCGGAGCCCAGCTCAGCTCTTTTTCCAACGTCAGCCAAAGGGAATGATGCAAACCCGCTCCGAGGCAGACTCTGGCCAACGGCAACAATGGCCCGAGACAAGGTCTGGGGACGAAACGTAGCCCCTTATCAGCTGTCACTGGGAAGACGAACGTCAAGACGTCAGCGATAGGAAAAAAATTAACTAAAACCCTCAGGAGCCRCTGAGCTTTCCCCTCTGGCCCCAAACGGGAGCTCAGTTTGGGGGGCTGCAGGACAGCAGAGGCAACAAGCCAAGGCCCATAGGAGATAACCCGAGAGCCCTGCAGTGGAGGATAAAGGGCACCTTGCCCAACACGCGGCTCCTGGCACGTAACTGCTGTGCAAGCCCTCAGCAAACACCAACGCTGAAGATTGCAAGTGCACAAACGTGCCTTTCGCCACCCGAGCATTGAGCAGGGGCTGTGCAGAGACACGGGAGGTGGACGGACGTTCACGGTTTCATCTGGAGCCTGCACTAAAAGGGCTCTCCCAAGCAGCTGAGGGTCAGCTCGTTGTTTGCCATCAGCGACGCGCTTATCAGCCACGGCTTTAAGTCTTAAGAGAGCTGCACACCCCTTACATAAGACTTTTACAGCTGCACTGACGCCTGCTCCAAGCCCACTGCACGCTGTACCCAGCACCAGGCTGGCCTCGTCCCCCGTTTCTGCAGAATTTTGTGCCCGGCACTTCCAGGCTGGCTAGAATCACAGTTGCAAATGGCTTAAACGCCACGGAAAGCAACGCTGCAAAACTGGCATCGAGGCGTTCCGTGTTTGTTTAGTAAAATGATAGCAATCAAATGTCCGTAGTTTGCCCRAAGGGATTTTTTAGGGCAGTTTTTAGCCTTGTGGAAATTCACTGTGTGGCCCCAGATCCACAGAGCCAGTGGCACTGATTGCCACTGCTCCAAATCCCATGCCYCAAAACCAGGGCCAAGGGAGCAGCCACACACACCTGTGTCACCTCCGTAGGCACCACTGAAAAGAGGTGAAAAGGGCGAGTTTTGGGTGTCAGCACCAAGGCAGATTCCAACTTCAGGAGCCAGTGTGGGAAAACCCCTCACTTTGCTTACGAGCAGAGCAATTTGAGGACTAGTCTGGGGAAACCTAGTGCCACGATCACCATGACACCCCCTTTACCTTACTGCATGTGGCTGGAGCCGCTTGCGTAACCCTTTTATTCTAGGGCTGAAAGGGATCTAGGGGCTTTCTTTCACTACTTGGCTCGTGAGGTTGTCTTTGGCCTTCTTGCTAGCCCAGCTCAGCGTCCCCATCCGACAGCTGAGGGGAAACCAAAGCTGGAAACACTCTTTACCTTTGAAGGCCTCCGTAGCCCCCGGCGCGTGGTTCTTGTCCGGGTGAAATTTCAGCGCGAGTTTCCGGTAGGCCTTTTTCAGGTCCTCGTCAGAAGCTTCCCTGTTCACCCCCAGGATTTCATAGTAATCTTTGCACTGCTTGACCCTACACCAGGAGAGAGATGGGAGAATGTGGAGGGTTATTTTGGGCTGTGGAAGCTCCATTGTGCCCAAATCTTGACTTTGCCCCACGGCTCAGCACCGTTTGGGATGATGGTTTGGGGTGAACTCTGGTTTCCTCGGCTGTGACCCGTTTCTTTCTGCACACTCATCCACACCGCGCCTGCATCGCCCCACACAAACGCTCTCAAAGAACAGGTCAAGCCAGTCAAGGTAGAAGGGCCCCTGCGCTGGCAATGAGCTCATCTGCAAAAGCATTTGCCTGGCAAACAAGCTGCAGTTTCGTCACGGTCACGTTTTGGGTGGCTGTGCAGGAGCTGCAGGGCTTAGAGAGCAGCCAGCACCCGGGAGTCTTTCCTTTCCAGCCTCAGTTACCTCACAGACCTAAAAATAAGGCGATTTCTACAGGATGTACAACAATCCTTCAGCTTCCAGTACTTGGGAATGGCGTAGAGGAATAAAACAAAGCAGAAAGAGTATTTGGAAAACTGGAGATCAGATAAATATGCCCTGAGATTCCTCAGTTGGAGCTTTGGAAGTGCATCGTGCTAACGGGGCAAGGTGTCCTGAGGTGGTTTTTCATTTTATGGGGCTTTAAATAGAAACCGTGAGCACAAAAGCAGCACGAGGACGTGGCCTGTCACAACAGCCACCGCCACCAGGGCAAAGCTCGAGCAGGAGGGGCGCCCGCGGGCGCTCTGAGTCACCTTCGGGACACCGCAAAACCCCAGCCCGGCGCCACACGAGCGACCCCAAAGCGGTGGGCAGCGGCGCACGCACCTCTTCACCGCGTCCACCTGGTCCTGCGTGTAGCCCTTGGGGGCCTCGCCGCCGGCCTCGCCGTTGGCCGCCGCGAAGCCGCCGCTCGGCGGCTTGTGCGCCGCGTTTGGGGCCTCCCTGCACGGGGGCTGCCCCTTGGGTGGCTGCTCATTTTTGTCAAGCGACTCCAGCAGAACTGGGGAAAGAGGAGCACAAAAAACGGGGTAAGAGACCTGGGGAGACAAAGCAGGAAGAGCCTCCTGCGGGACAGAGAGCCGCAGTCCTTAGCGTTGGTGCAACGGATGGTAACAAATAATCAGAAGGGTGTTTCGTTCTCCTGCGCTGCCTCGTGGCTTTCACCTGTGGAGAGGAAGCGGTAAAAACCCTCCTTTCCCTTCATTACTGCATCCGCTTGCGGCCGTTCCTCAAGCGGGACACRGACGCGTTTTTGGCACCGCCGCTCCTCACCTTTCAGCCAAGGTGAGGAACACGCTCAGGCCTCGCAGCACAGAGCCTCAGGCAACCGTACGGTGAGACCAAAGGACGTTTTTCCACGATCCGAGACACCGGATCCGGCGGGCAAGAACAATCCCCGTGGCCCCGGCCACCCGCCGCTGCTCTGTGACGGCCGCGCGAGGCCGCAGCCAGGACGAGCCTGTCGCGCGGCTGGCACGAGGCCCGCGCCGCCGATCCCGGCCCAGTTCAACGCATCTCGCAAGAAGGAGGAGCAGTTTCCCCGGGGAACGGGAACTACGCAGAGCAGCGATGACACACGCGGGACYGGGGCACGTCCCACGGTGTTTCCCCATCCGCTAGCTGGCGAACGCAGGAGTTCAGCSGGTCAAAAAGCCCCGGAAGGACCGGCCCGGGGAGCAAAGCTCGGAATGAGGAGCAAAGCTCGGAATCCAAACGCGGATGAGGGCTGGGAAAGCTGAAGCAGGAACAAGCCGGCCCTTTATATAAATGCCTGGGGTTTAAGTGCAAACAGAGGGAACATTGTGTTTAYCCTGCTCCACAAACCGCTTCCCGGGCGTTTTCGCGATACGTTAATCGCATTTGTGCCAAGGCTCCCGGGAAGCCTGGCGCTCCCAAAGGCCCGTTCCGCCGCCGCTGCTGCCCTGGGCTCTTCCCGGGGCAGTTTTCGCTGCGTGACGGTTTTTGAGGGGAAAGCGGGAGAGAAAGGGCGGCCTTTCCTGTCGGGAATGCCGGGGAACACGGCGGCGGGGGGCGGCGGGGGGCGGCGAAGGGCAGAAACGGCGGGGGCGCGCGGCCGTTACCGGCGGCCGTTGGCGAGCGGCCGCAAAGCCCCCTGGGAGCCGTAGTGCCCCCCGCGCCGCGCCCGCCGCCCCCACAGCGCGGGCGGACTCGCCTCCCCGGCATGCCCCGCGCGGCGCGCAGGCGCAGTGCGGCGCAGGAGTCAGCGCGGCGGCGCCAGGCCCCGGGGCGGCCGCCCCCCCACACACACGGCCGCCCCGCCGGTTCGCCGGTGCTCACCGCGGACCCGCTGCGAGGGGTACAGGCGCTGCGCCTTCTCCAGGAAGCGGCGCGCCCGCTCGGGCTGGCCCGCCTTGGCGGCGGCCAGCGCGATGCCGATGCACCGCTCCGCCTCGTCCCTGTTCGACTCCATGGCGGCGGCGCCCGTGACGGCGGCGGGCGGGGCGCGCCCTGATGACGTCAGCGCCCTCCCCGCCGCCTGTCCTGCCCCCCGCCCCTACCGTACTGCCACGACTAGCGGCGCCGCTACCGGAGTGGTAGAAAAGCGCTGCACAAAAGCAGCGGGAGAATAATTCAGTTTCAGTAAATAATACACGTTTAAGTAAATTTAAGCGGTCAGATTAAAACGCAACAGGGGACAGATTAAGGCTGAAACGCAGGAGGAAGGTCCAATACTGGCCTTCCTCCACTGCAAACGTTCCCTCTGAAGCCCAGGCAGCAGCTTTTCCCAGGAGGAAAGAGACGGGACCTGCCCAGCCCACCCCAGGACAGGGGAAAGGGAACAGGAAACCACTTCCTATTAAACACAGCACAAGGRATGAGTGAGTGAGCGAGTAGGTAAATGAATAAATAAATAAGTAATGTAAGGGGGAGAAAGCAGAGCGGCGGCTGCCCTCTAGCTCCCAGGCGCAGAAGTGCTCTGCAGCTCCAGGGCTCCCCTTGGAGGGAATTCGGTGCTGGAAGCAAGGAAAGAAAGGAGAAAGGCAAGTTTTACACATTTTCTTTTTYTTTTTTCCCCCCTCAAAGTTATCAACATTAATGCACATCCTTTCCCCSCCACAGAAGTCCCAGTGAGCGCAATGGGCTCAGCCGACCACAGCCCCTGGGGCGCTCCGGCCCTTCCCTGCTTCTCAAGGAGCCCACGGCTTCTTTTGCAGGAGAAACCTGGAAAAAATGAATAAAAAGCATGCTCTTTTGCAAAAAACGCTGCATAAGAGACGGGGGTACAGCCCACCAGCTCCATGCCCAGCTCCACAGCACGAGAACAGTCTTTTTTCCAGGAATATTCCGGGCGCAAAAAGAGGAGCCAGGGAAGCAACAGCCTCCGACTTCCACCAAAGTGTCCACGAAACCTGCGGCTCTTTCAGTCTTGGCTCCGWYCTGGAGCTGGTGCCAGGTSTCAGAGGGCCGTGCGGCGGGATGCRGGTGCTCCAGGAACATGGGAAGCCGGAAAAGGCTCCGGGCCCTGCGGCTAAGGCTTGGGCACGGTGAAGTCCCAGGCGGTCTCCTGGGCGCACTTCCACATGGCCCTCATGAGGCGCGTGAAGCCCATGTCCTTGGGCTTCTCCAAGCCCCGCATGAGCCGCTGCTTCATGATGGCCACAAACTCCTTGTTGCTCAGCTCCCCGTTGCCTGGAAGGAGGAGGAAAAGCGTTAGGGAGAGGAAACCCACGCGTATCCCGCCCGCRATCCCGTGTTCTGGGATTCCCTCCTTGCCTGGACAAGTCACCCACAAAAACAAGGTCACTTGAGCCCCTCGGAAAGCAGCAGCCCCCCACAACAAGAGCCACTCTGGCCCACACCAGGAACGGCATCGGTTATGCTTAATGTACAAGGGATTTACTTTAAGATCTTTCTTTTCCTGCATTACTTCCAAATGCAAATCTATGCAGGGAAAGTCCAGCAAAACACCAAGAGGAGAGTAAATTCCCTCTGGTTTGGCAGGGTTTTGATGTAATGGCTACAAACGYTGACAGAGTGAAGCCAAAGGATGGGGTCAGCACCTGTGCTTCTGCTTTATTCCCCCCTTTCCAGGGGCTTCTCCAACAGCCACAATCTTTTCCCTGGAAGGTTTGTTATGCAAATTCTTAGTGGACTCTCCTATGAGAGGCTGCAAATTGGGAGTGCTTGGGATACCCTTGGATTTCATGCACTGGCATCATCAGCTTAGGGGATCTAATCAGAAAACAGCACTGAGCCACAGAGGAAAAACAACATGAAAACCAAAAAATTACACCAAAATGCTGCAGAGGAGGAGCTAAAACCACAGGGGCCTGCCAAGAGTGGAGCAATCCTTAAATATTAAAGGATTTTCTTGACTCGCCGGACTCACCGTCGCAGTCGAAGAGGGCGAACACCACGTCGCACACGTGGTCCGAGAGCTCCACCTTGGCCACCGTGCGGGCCACCTGCTGCATGGTCACTGTGTGGGGAGCAAGGGACAGCGTCAAGACACCAGGAAACGCTTCAGTTCACCTCCAGCAACAGCAAGACGTTCCAGACACTTAGCTGGGGCATTTTCCCCCCCACTACTTTGGTTGGGAAAGCCCAGGTCAAGACTCCAGTAGACACCCCAGGGGAAAAGTAACAGCATTTCTCTCTATTTTTGCAAGCAACATCTTATAGAAACCCAGCAACCCTCACTAATGAAAAAAATGTCTTTTTGCGATTCTAATTCGTGAGCTTCTCAGAGCTGTGAAGCAACAGTTTGCAAAGGGCTGGAGGAATGGCAAGGAAAAAGCGCAGGAGCCGCGGGCGGAACACGGCCAAAGGCTTTGAGGAGGATCTGGAGAACAGGGAACCGGAGGCATGTGTGTTTGGAGCGCAGGGAAAGCCACCTCGTGCACCCAGCCCTTCCTCTCCAGCTCTCTGGAATCCCCAAAGTGCCCAAGCAGCCACAGGACCGAATCCTGGCCCCAGCAATGGGCACAGGAGGCGACCAGGCTCTTCAGCCTGGCGAAAAAAGTATATTAGCAGCCCGTGATTTAATTAGTTGGCGCTCGCAAGTTGTAATTTAATTACCAAGCTGGTTTGAGCTTTCCCCTTGCTTGGAGGGGAACAAAAAGAGAAAAAAAATATGTATCCGTCTCCAGCTATTCGAGTTGCAGGTCTCCTTTCCCATCAGCTCCCGCATCCATGGAGGAAAATAAACCTCCTGGATGGAGGGAGTCCCTGGCGCTGTCACCCACTAGCTGGATGGATCTTGCAGCGCTCCGGAAAATGGGAGAAACCTTGCAGCAGAGCCATGCTGAGAGGCTGTGTGTGACAAACAGGGACACTTGCCTGGTAGGTGGCCTCCTACATAGGAGGCAGGGGGACAAAAATATCCCATCCGGCAGCAGAAATGGGAAAGAAAGGTGGCACGAAGTRGCCCCGGAGCGCTTGACCCAAAGGCAGCATCACCCCTCTGGCTGCTAGGGAAGSCAYGAGGAAGCTGGAGCACCGGGTACCRGGAACACCAGGGCCGTCTCCAAGTCATCYTGGTCCCTACCCRGCTGCCCTCGAGRCRGATGAGCAGCTCCTGGCGCTGGAAAACTCCCCTTCCATAGCCGGAAGTCTAACCCTGGCAGCACCGGAATTGGTGTCTAAGGAATTTCCACCCTTCCCCTTCTTGTGAGTCTGCCTGCTCTCTAGGGCAGGACCTCACTCCTCCTTGTGAGTTTTGCTTTTGTAATAGGAACAGAGCCCGGCTATAAATTACAAGGGTATAATGCAACATTTATGGGTCTCCTGCAGCGGTACCGAGCGCTTTCATCTTCAYGTGGGCACAGAAACACGGGCTCGGGTGCTCTGCAACAGCATCCACACGGAGGCATCCACGGCAGCCTCAGAGCCTCCTGCAGAAGCCAGGGAAATCCCAACTCCCTTCACTTTGCAATGCAGGCTGCAAGACCAAGTGCTGCTGGAGCCGCGCGGAGCCCCTTGAYGGGGCTGCACTGCTGCTGCAAAGCAGAGCTAAGCACGTGCTGAGCTGGGGTTTTTGCCCTCCGTTTTCACACTAAACAAGTATTTGGCCAAAATAATAAGCAGGGGTCTTAGCCCAAGTTATCTGAACGCGGTTTCTCAAGGGAAAGGGATTTAAAATGGCCGTGAGGCCATTTAAAAGGCACCTCTCCCCGTGCCCCCTGCCTAGCTGATGCTCCCCATCAAACTGCATCTGTCTACACCTTGCCCTAAAATACAAGGGATTTATCTCTGCACTGCATCCTGGTGCCAGCAGAAAAGCTGCTCGGAGCTGCAGATGGTGCCAAAAAAAAGTGCAGTTCCTCCCTCTCCTCAAAAAGGGAGAATGGGATGAACGTGGCTCCAGCCCCGCTGCCAGCCCAAGCCAACTGGCTGGGAAAGTTCCCTAAATGTGATTTGTTTAGAATTTAAGAGAACAACTGCTATTTTGTTTCTGGAAAAATCAAAGACGGGCTAGCTGGTAAGCCATGCCGGGCTTCATTAGAGCACAACTTTATGATCTGTTTCAAACAATTGCCTGTTTACAGCCTTAATTTAACAGTGAGAACAAGTCGGCCAAGTTGTGCCTTGTTTGCCATCATTCATTTTTACACCATTTCATTTTTAAAAACTCGTAACGAGAGAGTTTACGCAATAAGCTAGGAGCAATTTATGGCATGCATTAACTACCCTCTTTTTTTTTTTCCTCCCTATTCTTCCTTCAGAAGATCAGCAATTTTTTCTATTTGCTGGGTTTTAATCAGCAGAGACTTCTCCTTCCCCATTTTCCATTAGTGGGAACATTCCCTGTTGCTTCCAGACCTGGCTCATTTCTGGAGCAGCCCGAGGCCTCTCCAAGGTTTCCTCCTTTGGCCAAAGGGCTCCCAGATGCAGCYCTACAGTTCCAGCAAACACTCACTAACTGCCCATGATTAAACAGCAACCCCACTGATTTACCAGCTGAGTGAGGGGCGACATATTCCAGACACACAGCCCTGCAACTGCTTATTTATTATAGACACTCTGGGAAAYGTGGAGTCTCGGAGCTGTTACCTGCTCCCAGCACACTGCTGCAGGCCCTCCTTTAATACACACTATTCCTTGCTTGCTTTTTCTTTTAAATGAAAGGGAGAATCTATCAGGTTGCTTTTAAGTTCAAGCCTCAAGGTAGAATGATCTAAAACGAAGAGTACAGATGATCTCCCAAAAAACAAGAATCAAAGCCAAGAAGGGCTGTCGACACATGGAAGAGATGTGACATCTTGGACTCTTTGTAATTGTACTGCCCCCGATCCTATTAATGTCTTAATACTCCCACAAGGGCAGCAGTTCAAAGAGGAACTTATTCTGAAACATCCCATTTCCCAGCTGTCTAAGTAAATCAGCTTTAAGTTTTTAAGCAGAGAACGAGAGTTTCCATTAAACTTCAAAATAACCTTTTAATTAGTTTGCAATCGCTTCTTACAGTCC